CACTTCTAAGTCACAGATTTGAAAATGGGAGAAAAGCAGCCAAATGGCACAAATACAAAAGAGACAAGAATAGCAGGATAGCCAGAACGGCAGAGATCGGCACAGAGGGTAGTGCCGTTGGCCGCTGACGCTTCTTAGTAATTACCAAAGCCGCTGCTGGGTGCACAGTGTAAGAAGTAGTTCTCTTGAGACTCAAGCCCTATTGCAACTTTATTTTGCCCTCCAGACTAGAGCCTCTGAAGGGGAAAAGAATAGCTAGGTTAGGAGGCTCACAGGTTAATTCTGCAGGCTTATGACAAAGCAGTACCATGAAGTGAAAATTAAGAAGCCCAAGGGATGCAAGGAGAAAATTTGAGATAACAACAAAGGACTAAGGAGTCGTCCCTGGCTTTCCTGCAAAGGCAAATCTATTTAAGTTTAGCATAAGCTTATATTCTGTTACAAAGCCTGCCTTGCTTGTGAGTCTCAAAAGGGAATCTTTCTGCTCTGAAGAGGCAAGGGATTCACAAGCTTGTGAAAGTTTGTAATCTATTTATAGGCTTTGCTCTGAAGAGGAAAACAACTTTGTCTCTTCAGGCCATGCAAAGGCTTTAGGCTGCTTCTCTCCCCGAGAGGAACAAGGATTTGTTCTACCAGAAGGGGAGGAAGTGTCTTGGGAATGCAGGCAAAATTGCCAGGTGCTGCTGGAACTCTGGCTCCAGCTAAACACCTGAAGGTTGAGATCAAAGAGGCGGGTCTGCTAGGTCACTGCACTTATTTAGTATACATAGTATTTAGATGGATTCTTAGAAGATATTTAGGCATGTAAGTCTTGTGGTTTTTAATGAGATTTCTGGCTCCTAAATACACTTAAGTGTCTGGATTCCAATGCATAATGCTTACAGGTGCAAGCTGAAGTTTACAGGACTAGTTGCAGCAAAACGCTGTGTGTCCCTGCTGCATGTTCACTCAAGGATCTCAAGGCTGTTTCTAAACATGAATGAAAACTTGCCTGAGAGCTGAACAGTTACCCTTCTTACAGATAAGGTGATGGCAAATTCATGTGCCTCAGGCCTTAAAGCTGGTCAGCCTGTGGCACTGCCCAGCGTAGTAACCAGCACACCTGACTCCCAATCCTGCACCTTAATCACAAGACCACCAGGATTTTACTGTTCTATAGAATGTCAGAGTAATTAATCACATTAAAATCCTGCCAGTAAATTATTCCTTCCACTATATACTATCAAACCTAAAAAATACATGCAACTTGTTTTGTTACTCTAGCATTACTCTAGCAGTAACAGATAACAAAACCTCTGGAGGCTGATAGGCAAGGGAAGGAGAAAAAATAACAATGGAGAAAAAAAAATAAAAGACAGCATGCAAACAGGCAGAAAGAAATAGCAACAAGCCACATGCTTGAAAATTAGTTTGGAGCCTGAAGTGTCCCTTCCAACTTTGCTCACAGCTGGCTGCTCCCATCCTGATGCCCCCCGTTTAAATTAATTCTAGCAGGCTATTAGAGGCTCTTGCACAGAGAATATCGTAAAAGTCTGAAGTAGTTTATTTCTATTTTGTTTCTGAGCTTTTTGTTCTTAACTCTCTATCTCCTAATTCCAAATTCCTGAATTCATTAATACTACGAAGATTTTATCACATTTATTATTGAATCACATAACATATAGATCAGGAAAAATCTCTCTCAAAGAGAAGTAAATTAGTGTTACCTCTGTGCCCTGGTCAAACTCCAGCCTCTGAAGTTCTGCCATTTCCTATACTACTTCTGATGCTATTCCATCACTGACAGTTCAGAAAACTAAAATAATCAAGACCTAGAATTAATACTCAACAGTCCAAAACTAACTTTACAGCACATTCTAACTTTTTTCTGCATTTGTTATTCGTATATGCACTTGTTACCTTCCTTGCACTTGCAACACTAAGTTGCAGCCGTAGGAGTCCAAATGGCAGGGGGTGTTTGCTCCTTCAGAACCAATCCAGAGGGTGCTCTCCTTTCCACTTCTTCCAGGAAAGCCAAAGTCAGACCACCTTATATCCTACAGCAATGAAAAGGTTATTTAAGTAAGCTGTTGAGCTGATATATACCCTACTCTCAGTTTTCTGAGTCTCCTCTTCTCCTTCCACCACTCAGTCATTCTTTACCCCCAGCTGCTGTTGCTCCTTGGTGGGGTTCCCACATGCAGGGCCTCCAAAATTCTCCTCTCTAGTAGCATTTCTTCTGCTGACTTTCTTTTTCTGCCTGACTGCACAGCCTCCCAGATCTCATCCCAGTCTTTCATATCCCTCAAGTTACCCGTTATAGCTGCTCTACAGAAGGACTGCCCAACTGCTCGTGGCCACACGTGGCTTCTTTTCCTTCTTTTCAAACAGTCTTTTTTTCTTTCCTCCACTCTCAACCATTCACCCAACCTCAGAATTGCTTTTAGAAAATTTCTGATATATGGCATTTAAGAACGAAAGGTAGGAAGGAAAAACCTCTATTCCCTTTCTGACCAATTTGATAATCCATGTGGCATATCGAGCCATGCTCCTGCCTCTGCTTCCTTCATGTATTCTGGAAATGCACACTTTACCCCATCTCTGACTCAGCAGTAAGCTTGGTTTTTTAAAAGTTTCTTCTTATTTAACGGACATATTCTTCTCCCTTTGCAACTGCAGAGGCAGTGAACTTAAACCAGCTTGATTATATGGTGAGAAAGGGCAGAACAGGGATGCATGTGTTATGAATGTGATCCTGGAGCCTTCCAGTCCATCGATCCTCCCCCAAGCAATCCCTTGGGGATGGCAGCTGGAACGACGGACAGTGAAATATTTTTCAGATAGGTCAAGGCTTTTGCAGCATGGCTTTGCAGAGCGTGGATAAAGCTTTCCCACATTTCTATAGCTCACCTTGCCACCTGCAGGGCGTTTTCATTTGTTTATTGGAAAGCATTTGAAGTATACTGGCCAGGGATGCTGGTGCCTTTTCGTTGGAGTCCCAGATTGAGCCTTAGGAAACAGACTCAATTCCTGGCTTCCTGATGGTCTCAGGCAAATCAGTTAGTCTTTGAGCTTTATTTTCCCATCTTGAAAGGAAAGTAACAGGATTTGCTTAATTTCATTAAAGTGCTTTGGGGTCATTCGCATCATCTAACTTTAGGAACCTAATTTAAGGTTGGCTCCTGTCAAAGCCCTCTCAATCACGCCTTGGAAAAGCCTTTCTCTTTCCATCGTCTATAAAGAGAAAACAGGAGTCTAGCCTCCTAATTTAGGTAGGTAAGCTAGCTGCTTGCAGACAGGTGGATGACTATCCCTGTTTAAGAACTATGGATGAGGAAAACTACAGCTAGACATTATTATAAGGATGACTTCACCATGACTCTGTATCAGGAAACCCTCAAGATGAGCGATAGCCTTCCCAAAAATTAGGTGTTGCTAAAGATTCTGAATTTCAGAGTTATTGATTTTAAAGATATCTCTTGAAAAAACCGCAGAAGTGTAATATAAACATTTGTCAAAGGCAGCAAAAAATCAAAAAGAAAAAGATGCTCCTATAGATTTCAGCAGCCATAAAATTTAAAATCCAATACAACTATTTCAGTGATAAAGTTAAGCGTAACTCCATCTCTACACTTTAATCTCACACCTAAATAGTTTTTGTATTTTGTTACAATTTAAGTGAAAAGAAAGCACACATAATCAATATTAGATTTAAAAGAACTTTTTGAGAATGCTACAGCTAGTAAATAGTTGAAGCGATTATGGGTAAAATAATTTTTAACCAATGAACTGAAAAGGAACTCGTAGGATTACTGAAATCTTGTCACAGTGGGTTCCTTTTCTACAATAAAAAACCACAGGAAGAAGAAATTCACTAAAAGGTGTTCCAACCATAACAGATGGCACATTACTTGTGAATTATATTTATTTCATTTGCTGCTTATAATGAAGTTAATCTGTACCCGTATGTCACTTCAAAAGGTCTCATTTCTATTTAAACTTCATGCATATATCTTGCTTCTGATTTATACCTCAAATTCTGTAATGAAATATCAACTGAACAAAAAATGTAAGATGCTAGATACTGCTCATAGATTAGAATAATGGAATCATTACCTTAGCCCACACAACTGTAAATGATAAACAGTGCAATCTAAATTTCAAACAACTTCTAAATGGCCCTATTCATCACTATAAATAACAGTGCAGTTGGCCTTCTTCTCCCCTTCAAATCACCTTACGCAAATCTAAATAAAATCTAAAAAGAAAAAAAAAGGGTTACCACCAAATTCACACAAGAATGGAAGAGAAATTCCACAAAGAACTCTTTTGGCTGGTGTAAACTGTGTAGCAGTGTTTCAAAAGCCATATGAGTCTGGAACTGACGGACGCATTTCACTCCCATGCCTGTGAAACCGGCAGATGACATGCACCATATTTGCTTGCATAACACCATTGATTTTCTCCTTCCCAGATTCTGCTTTAAAAAAAAATCCATGGCATAACCATTACGTGTGTCTATTCTAAAATTGCAGTACAATCTGTTGCTTGTTATAGGTCAGGTGATGAGGTTGTGGTGTGACACCTGCACAGAAATGCAATTCCTGGAGTCTCAATTTTGTTCTTGAATGGGGGCAAGGGGAAGAAGGAGGTAGGAAAATGGTTTTTTCCTTCAAGTGTGTTTTTATTGATCAAATAACGCAGCAGGCTATTCAGGTCTTCTGAGCTGCTATTATCTTGTGTGTATATAGGTGCATATATATCAGGAAAATGCCATCTTTTGAGGCAGAAAGACAGAAGACCAAAGCAGGACCACAAATATAGGAAGTCACTCAAAGATCTGAGCAAGCCCAAAACATCCCTGGAGCTCCCAATTTAGTTCAAACAACACAATCCAGTACCAGAATTGGGCAGCCCAGGTTTTTGTGACCCTCGTTGTGGTTCAGTGTTCTTAGGAAGGGAGGAAGAAAGGTGGGATGGCCTCTGCATCCAGACCTTACCTTCCAACCCACAGAACAGGAAAGGAGACAGTCTGAAAAAAGACTAAGCGCTGTAAAATACTAATTTTACTGGTATAAAAGAATAAAATACATATAAGGAGCCTGGGAAATGGTTTCTGAGGAAATAGTTAATTTGAGGGGGCTTACCAGTACACACTGTCATCCCAGTGATAGTGTTTGCAAGAAATTATATTTCCATTTTCATGTTTGGGAATACAGAAATGAATACAGCTTCACTTATTATTCCTTCTTTATATCTTTTGAAAAAATGCACCCTTTGTATGGCTATCCTTAATTTTACTCTCTTACAACTTGCAAGGAGAGTTAAAAACATGAATGGACATTGAAACAGCAGATAGACATAGAGAAAGCAAGAGAAAATAAGCCAGGTAAGTGTCCTACAAGTATGCATTTGGAAATTATCATAGATTACGTACTTCCATGGACAGGTTACTTCATGTATTTTACTGCTTCTACAGACAATCAAGGTATACTAACCCTGCAGACTCAGAATCTCTCCTCTTCACAAACAGTTAACCTATGCTACTATTTTACATTTATTTAATATTTCATTAGACTAGATATAAGGAAGAAATTGTTTACTGTGAAGGTGCTGAGACACTGGAACAGGTTGCCCAAAGAAGTTGTGGAAGTCCCCTCCATGGGAGTGTTGAAGGCCAGGTTGGATGGAGCTTTGAGCAGCCTAGTCTAGTGGGAGGTGTCCCTGCCCATGGCAGGAGGCTGGAACTAGATGATCTTTAAGGTTCCTTCCAACACACACTGTTCTGTGATTCTGCGATAACTGTTAAAGGAAGGAACTGTGCTACTTGAAGCAGAGTCTCAAGTCTGCAATGTGCCAGGCATGTCTGCTGCCTGTCACCTCCACACTCTGTTCAGCACTCTGTCTTCTGCAGAGGTGCAGGGAAGGTGTGCAGCTGCAGAGGCCACGCACCGGACTCATTGCTCCCCAAGCCTGCCCAGTCACAAAATGATGCTGGGCTAAATGGGAAGGGGAGTGCTGCCAGTCATGTAGTTGTTTTTTGCCACTTCTGGTATTGTTTTTATGCTGTCCTGGCTTTAGCTAAAAACCTCAGTTCTGTTTAGGGATTTTTACTTTCCAGTTCAGTCTCTTCTAAGAGGCTGCCCGTTCTGAAGTCAGCAGCCTGTTTTTGCAGACTGTGCCTGCTACTGGCAGTGAGAACACCTGATGTTTGCAGTTACTGCCTGGGGCTGGGATGCAGAAAGGCTCTTGCTGATACTTATTGCTATAGTGACCAAGGCCACTGCTGGCTCTGTGTGCCACGCTGGGGGTGCCAGGTATTAAGAGGGGTAACAAGGAAGTAAAAGGTTGCACCTCTGTGGTGTAATAGACAGGACAGGTGACGAACAAGAGTATTCCATTCCATATACGTCATATTTAGTATAAATTGAGTGATGCAATGTCTGGCATCTGGGGACGACTCCGTCCGATCTCCTGCTTTTGATCTGAATCCAGCTCCCTTTATCCAGCTCCCGCAGCCGCGGAGCCTGGGGTTTCCCCAGGGCCACCTGCTCTGCAGCATCAGTGGGGATTGCTATCGGGGTGGGGGGAGTCAGATTCGATATAGTTGTATATAGTTCTTTATTTTTGTCATTTCACTATTATTGCCATTATTGTTTCATTTAAGCTGTTCTAGTTTTGATTTCCTAACCTGTAAGTCTCTCTGCCTCATTCCCTTCTCCTATCCGTTTTGGGAGGGGAGAGAGGCTTAGAGAGCATCTGTCCACGTTTAGTAGCCAGCCCAGCCCTAACTCGTGCATATAAACAAACCCAGAATTTTAGATGGCTGCCATTTGGTACTAGCGCTCCATTAGCTTAAGAGCCAATAGCTTTTATTTCAAAATTTTAAAATAAATGGCCAAAGGAGCAGAGATTTGCAGGAACAGAGAGATAATCTGCGATGATTAAACTAGGAAGAAATAATATTAATGTTTTACCTGGAAAACTTCTGGCTTGTCTTCGAATATCTTGGCAATGTATTTGTAGTCAGCATAAGCCCAGTATTTGGAGTACTCGTAACAACTGAATGGTCCAGAGAGACAGGAAGGCTGCCCAGAACTCCAAGCCAAAAACTCTTCAAGTGTAGCCTTCACGTAGCTACACCTGGTTTCAAACTGGGGAACTAGAGCAAGAAAAGTCAAATATTACAGGAGGATTGACCACAGAACCAGTAAAAATAATATGTAGTTTCTCTCTCAGCTCTGGCTAAATGCAACATGAGATATGAAGTGGAACTATGTGGCTTGACTCTGGTCAATAAAATGGTTCTCATTGCCTAAGTCACAACTAAAATCTGAGGGTATTGGTTTTCCATTAGGGTTTAAGTGAATGGCTGTTACCTGGAACTTGCTGTGAGGTAAAAGCACACTGATAGTGACTACTGTTCATGTGTGAGGCACCCTTCAGCACAGTAACTCAATAATACACCCAAGTTCCTTAAACAACTAAGAGCCTGTCCTTTGCTTCGTCTTCCTCCTTGAGTGTGAGCTGCGAATGTGCACACAAGGATTTGTGCACCCTTTACTTTGTCTCTGTGGATTTATGTAGATGGACATGTTCACCTTTTCCTAAAGCAATAACCAAATCAGCACAGTAATGCATAGGAAACAATTTATGGAGCCACACGTGTGACAATGATCCATCTAAAATGCTCTGTGTCCTTATTTTTCATTTGGGACTGACAAAAGCATATTGCGGTGTTCCTTGGCAGATACAAAAAGTATTTACCAGCAGCGTTTTGCTCCCGTCATGCTTTGGTCAGGCTGACTGATACAGCCTTTCAGCTCAAGGTCAGGTCACTGGGAAAGCCTACAAGATAACCCACATCACAGCACACTTTAATTGTGGTTAATCGGAGATCTTAATTTCCCACAGCCGCTAATTGTGCCAGCTTCAAAAAGAGTTATCCAACGTTAAAGAAAAATATTACTTTACTATAACTACTACTGGGAAAAAAATTACTGCAGCCTGCACAAGTGACAATGACGGAGCTGCAATTTAACCTTGTGTAACTTGCACAGAGCTGCTCAGAAATGGATCCTTTCATCGCTGTGCAGTCGCAGCTCTTCGTTCTTTACCGCTCTCATTTTGTTAGTGCAGCAATTCCCACAGTCTCACACATTCGTTCTTATTCCCTTTGGGCGGGAGAACAGCTTTTACAAACCTTAATCACCACCATTTTGCCATTACACTGTAGTAGCCTACGCTGTGGTTTGCCTTCCCCTCACTATCAAATTCATTAACTAAAATGTTAGATAAGCCCCACTGATTCAGCAATCTGTAACCTGGGTCTGCGCAGTACAAGGGCTCCCTACCTAAGAACTGTATACAAGATGTATAAATTGTCTTGCAATAACCAAAACCCCCTGTATCTGATTCCCTGTGTTGCAGTCCAGTACCCTCTCCTGACACCCAGTCACTAAGGCAATATACATCATTTTATTAAGAGATGGTCTGATGGAAAAATCAGATAAAAGATACAAGCACTACTGAAGGTGGCTCAGTATCTGTATTGTTTTGATGAGAACAAAGAGTGCTTAGGACACTGTCTCTTTTTCCAAGATAACTCAGAAACAGGTGTTTTAAGGGCAAGAAATAACGCTCCCTCCACCTCACAGTGTATTTCACTCTGAGCTCCATTAAAAAAAAACTCCCACTATGAAAGACAAGACTATCTTCTAGAATACATTCTCCTCAGGGCAGGGTTCTTGGTTTAATTTATAACTTGTTCAGCACCAAGGTGCGTGTGCTTATGGAAAAATAAACAGTAATAAAAACCATATTCGGGCAATCTAGACAGATTGCTTAGAGGGATTTGTAGACTGCAACTAGGCTGAAAATGTTAGCAGCAGGAAGCTGAAAGCAAGAACGCTATTAACCAGTTTGCTCGTACTTGATTAAAACCTGAAGGTCTTTTGTAACTGATAAATTGTAGATCAAGCCACGTAAGTGCAAAGTAAGATACCAGTGCTGCCTGATGACATGGTACCCAAAGGTGTGACATGTCCTCCTCTCTCCCACAGAATGCCACAGATTGAAACCAGGGAGAAGAAGAGAGGGAAGAAGTGTTTTTTGGAGGAAGCAGCTCACCTCCTTAGTTAAGGTCTGGTCCTCACAGACACCAAATTCTGTTCTACTCAGAAAGACAGTGCCTGCAGTGTATAGCAACTGAAATGTGGAAAAACAAGTTGGAAAATACCTTAAAGCTCCAGTAAGAATGCTAGTGGCACGTCTCCTCCATTTCTTTAAACTCAAAAGAAAACTAAATGTCTATTCACAGCTGCTGGGGAATTAAAATTATTTAAAAGCATAATCCAAGCAAGGAATAGTCATTCAAAATTATAACAAAGCACAGGCACACTCACAAACAAAAAAAATGGCCATTCGCATCTAACTCCAATAACCACCTCAAATCTCAGCTTTACGTGACATCTATCCAGCATATTGTATTTGTGCTATATTTTCAGCCTCCTATCCGGCTACTGAGTTTACAGCCACCTTTGCAGTCCCTCTCTATATCAAATGTCAGAGGCTTGAATTCTTTTGCTGTCCTTAGTGGTAAAACCTCCTGGGCAGATGTCCAAGTTGCAGCCTTTCTCTGTCCAACTGCGGATCTGACAGCATCAGCTCTGTCCAGCATCTCTAAGAGAAATTTCCTCTGGAGATCTTGTGACTCATGACTGATCAGCATGACAACCTCTTGTTCTCTCCAGCTTCTTCACAGTAAACTCATTGCTTATTCATTTCACTTCACGAAACAGACAAAATGGTCAAATTAAGAAATGTCTGCATCCAGAAGTCAGTTTTGTGGAAGCCTTCTTCCTCCTTTGTAATTGCTGGTGTGCTCCCCATAGTCATCAGATAGATGGGCTATAATGCTGAACTTTTTCTGCCAGAAACTCAACTTCTGTAGCGGCTGCCCACCCTTTAACCTACCTCAGAAAAACAAATCTTCTAGTGTGGCTGGAACTGGATTTCTTGATTAATAGCACCTTCATTGTTCTTGTAATGAACGCTAGCACTCTCTCTGGAAGTATCTTATCTCTGTCAATGCTTAATCCTCTGACTGTATCTTCTTCCCCTCTTATGGACACATACCATTTAACTTGTGTAATCAAACAGAATACTATCAAACACACCAGCTTAGGTAGGTGCAAATAATTCACACAAATAATACTGCTAGCTCCCATGTTTTCCATGTTTCCAATGCACATTCCACATCAGAAAGTTCCAAATTAGTAAGAAAAGCAAATATAAGATCCAAGCAACTTGCACCAAGTTGCCCTATTTGCAGTTCTTCCTTTTTCATACTAAGAAATCTTCAGTTTGGGAATCCCCATCCAGGCTGCAGATGTGGCACTACACAAAGACGAGAAGTCGTCATAGTAAGAGGTCCCAAATAATTTTGGATCTTCCAGATGAACCTCATGTCTTAAATAATCTCAGAAACTCCGAAGCAGCCATTTTAAAGTGACATCAAAATATACCTACAAGCAGGAGAAGAGTTTCTTTCTTTTACATGTTTCTGACTCAGTGGCAGGAGTGGTCTCATTTAGTCTTAAGGCAATTAATCTACTGGAAACATGGAAGGAATATGCAGAGAGATCAATACAATTTTAGTTGCTTTCTCTAGCCACATCACTGCCTCCATTTCATTTGGGAAAGTTAGTGTGAACAATGGAAACAATCCCTCATTGAAAAACAATGTTAAGCCTGCAAGAGTATGATCAACCACCTTCCAGATGACGGTAGGGAATTAAATGTATTCCATTAGTTCAGATTTTGAGATGGTGTGGCTAATGGCTTCACTAATATATCCTTACAATGCAAATTTTTTTATAGCATCACAGGTCTCATTCAGTTACAATATAACCCCTGAAGGCTCTACCCATCTTCCTGAAGACATTTGTAGCTCATATTAGCATATAATGGAGGTTCCTGGAGACAAACTGAATGCTGCCTGGGGATTGATGCCTTTAGGAAAAAGCAAAATAAGGATAGATGCAACTTCAAGACACAAATTCCAATTTAAATCCACTGTATATCCCTAGTGACTACAAGTTATTGTTAAGTGATGACTCTTACCTACTTAGTTCGTAGCATCAACTCATGGCTTAGCTACGTAACACTCCATCAATCACCAGCTAGCATAACCATTTGGCTCTCAAAAAGTGCCTACTAATTAATGGAAACTAAGATCAAAACTATCCTTTGATCTGATACACCTTGTATATTACTACGGAGATATATTAACAAAGTATTAAGGGAAATGTCATATATGCAACATCTTCCCTATTGGCAACAGGATGCCTTTTACATGTAGTGCAAGAACTGGCTGATACCTCATTGAACTATAGAGATATCGCTGTGAAGAGGTGTACCAATATATTAATTCTACCCTTCAGTTATCACATCTGGTGAAAGTGAATAAATAACATCTGTTTTCCCAGGAATGGCATAGGAATCATTAATCTATGCTGGTAAAATGCTTTGAAATCCTAAAATGCAAAGCATTTTCCCTCTAACACTTCTTTCTGTTTCATCACTTCTCTTGCAAAAATTGAACATGAAATAATATGGTCATGATACTGTGAAGAAAGCAAATTTCACACAATGTTATTAAGTAAGATAATGTGATGTAATCCTACCACTTCCATAGGAGCTGGCAGACCCTCATCTGGAGTCTTTGTGCAGAGCCCACATTCCAAGAAAGAGGTAGTCCAACTGAAGAAGATTAAAAGTATAGGAAGAATACCTAGGTGGGGTCTAAAAAACCACGACCTACTGAACATTTTTTTAAGAACTGAGTTTGTGCAGCCTAGGAAAAAACAAAACAAAACAGAGACTGAAGGGAGACAACACACTTTAGGCAAAAAGGAGGAAGTTCATGGCAAAATGTATTTTGGTATGTGGTTGGGAGGGCAAAGGATGTAGAGGGGACATATAAAGCAATGCATAACCTCTACCGTGGTTAGCAGATTGCCACCTTGGAGCACCTTTCCTGTGTCTTCCCTTCCTGGTATGAAACTCTGTCTATGGACAGATTATGACTAATAGTGTGTGGCTACAGACAGAAAATGATGTTGCGGTATTTAAAATCAAGTGCAAAAATTGCCTTTCTCCCATGGCACGTTCCTAGACATCTGAGTGAATCTGGAGGGTTAGGGGTTAAACTATTGTACTGGTGTCAAATGATTTTCCTAACGCTTTATATTTCAAAAGCATCTTTCACCATAGGATCTTAAAGTACTGAAAACCACCACAGTCTTATAGAACCTCTGGAGGGAGATGAGAATTACCATTTTGCAAATAAAAAAATCAAGACAGATGGGTTAATTACTTATTCTTTAACACACAGGAAGCTCAGCTCACACGAACAACTGCATCATGTGTAAGACCAGAACGAAACACACGCACTACAAATCAAGGAAAGAAAACTGAGACGCTTGATTCCTGTATGTTTGTGTTACCCACACGACCTCCAGCCAGGGACACACACACAAAACAGAAAAAGGAGAGTTCCACTGCTCGCCAAATCCCATGTCCTGAACACAAAGCCTGCAGTGAAAAGCAATACGTTAGAGAATAAACAGTGATGACAGAGAGGCAGAGGACTGCAGAACCTAAAGAGGAGAGTTGTGACAGGTAACACCTGTCCACCTCAGTCTCACCTAAATCCACTGTCTTCAGACCTAGCCTAAACTGGATTGTCTGTCCATCCAACACCGCGGAAAGGTATTTTGCAGTCCAGTGCAGGGCTGGCCAGTCACCAACCATGTTACAGAAGATTGCAGGTTGCTGTAGAGACATCACAATTTCCTTGGTTTTCTCAGGAGTAAATGGTTTGACATCTTCACCTACGTAAAGAAAAAAACAGCTGTAGAGAGATGATTTACGATAAATGAAGTGTTACCTATCATCTCCCAGAGCACAGGAAACATTAAGAACTAATACCTCTTTTGTTTATGGTTCATTGCTTTATTACATTTGTGAATTTTTCCAAATTTCTACTGCAAACACATACTGCAAACATTCTTACTCTAAATTAGAGTTTAAAGCTGTGTGTTAACACACGATATGTTAAAAAAAAGAAAAAAGGCATGTGCTTAGAGTTTTTATTTGTAGCTCCATCAATAAAGCACTGTAGCCAAACGATTTAGAATTAGGTTAACAATAAAAAAACATTACAAACAATGTCCAGAGTTTAAAGAATATAAATTTTATGAGTAGCAGTCTTTCTACAGGGTATTCTTTCCAAGAAGTGTGTTGGAGATAGTGAACCAGGATGCCATGCACTTGATTTAAACCAAGGAACAGCAGTGTAACCAAAAAAGTAGGTATTTAAAAAATTTTTTCAGCTATAAACTTTAGGAAAAAGGAAGTTGTGCCAATTCAAGAACTAAACTAACTCAAGATTTCCATTTACTCTTTTGCTGTTTAGAGATTTATATGCCCCACTGAAACTGTCAAGTTGTAAATGCTAGCAACCTTGAATAAACTCAGCACTTTCAGAACAACTTTTCTTTAGGGACATATTGAGAAGAAAAAAATGGGGGTTTTATTTTTTTTTTACATAACAGCTCCATAGAGCTGAAGCATTGGACTACAACTTTGCATCATAAAAAAACCCATTCATTTTCTTAACCTCTACTGAAGTTAACTCATCTGGAATTTGTATCTGTATAATGCCTAAGATTTTCCGTACCGAATCAGTATGTATGGTTCCCCACCACTCCCAGCAGCTCATTTAAAGCAAACAAACAAACAAACCAATTCAATCACACTATTTAGGTGTCAAATTATGGTCCGGCATACACGATGGTTAAATAAATACAGGACAAGAAAATACCTTTTACTGCTGGGTGCTCATTTTGCCTCTTACTCCTCCCCGTGTGCGGGTGGTGGGACCAGCCAGTCCCACACAGGATAGCCCTGCGGCATCAGCTTGGGCCATCACAAAGAACCACCAGGAACAAGGTCACCAAGGAAGATTCTTCAGTATTGTTTCAAATAAGAGTTTAAAATAAATATATGAAGGCTTGAAGTGAGAATGGCAGGAGTAAGAGGAGCCCTGTGAATGCTGTATGCCGTATCTCTTTGCTATCTTTTGTGAGGCCCCTTTCTTCTGAGTGTTTATACTGAAGCATAGCTGTACTTTTAGTTTTCTAACCTAAGCTGCCATCTTCACACAAATTCAGCAGGAGGTATCAGAACTGGGATTTCCTTTCTCCCATGGACTTGCAGGGAAACTGAATCCCTCTCTCCTTTCATTCATGAAAACGGCATCTTGAAGCTTTAAAACTAAAGACCTCCGACATTTTTATCTTCACGGAACATAAAATTTTTAACTGGCTTCCCCCTTCTTAAGGCAGATGACAGGAGGGATTTCGGGTCTTGGTTTGTTTTCCACGTACGCAGAGCAACACTTGAACGGGTGGTGTTGCTGTGACACCGAGAAGTCTACGACACTTGGCCTTCAGTCTCGCGCTCCAGCAACTCGCACCACCAGGACATAAGGAGGCCTCACAGGGACCGTATGTCTTACCATCTGGTCTTCCCTAGCTCTAGAAGAAGGCTCTGGGGGTTTCCGAGCCATAGGTTAGAATACCTAGAGGGAGCAAGTCCAGAGAAGGCAGGAAGACCATCCGCAGACGCAACGACACGTGCTGGTGGAACTACCTCGAGCTGGCTGTAGGCATGGCAAGAGGTTAAAGTCAGCATGGTTTTTTGCAGTGATGTTGTTCAAAGACTAAGACAAGACTCAGTTCACATACAAACACTCCCAGGGGGTGACTTCTTCTGTCATCAACCAGTACAACTATAACACCATACAGAGGTGGCATGCACAATGTGGGAGCTGGCTGGCCTTACACATCTTTCAGATTTTCCAACTCCTAAAAATGAAAGTATTCCTGCTTAGGCTAAGTTTATCACCACGTGGCTGTCTTTTTTTTGACTACTCAATTGTTTTTGTTTTAAGGGCAATACACTTAATTATTTTAGAGGATGTAAATCCAAAGAACTGCAAGAAATTGGTGGCAGGATTGGTGGAGGATTTTGTAAAGTTGAGTGTTATTGCAAAAGCCTGAGCTTTATCCTGTAACTTCAGTCAACAGCTGGGATGTGCTACAAAAGCAGAAATTTTATTCAAAGAGACAGGAAGGCTCATCGAAGCCAACTGTTGATTCTGTGTGGCTTTCTAATGTGATTTCCACATGCATATTGTGCTTTTGAAAGGTGTGGGTTGAGCTCAGAGCTCAAGTCACTGGGAGAGTCTGTATCAATGCCAAATAAAAAACCACAATTAGACTAAATAGCCTCTCCTCTACTGAATGTTACCCGGAGGTTTTTGTCATGTCACCACACTTTGTTCAGTTATAAACCTGTTTTGCCTATAAAATTTAGAAACAATGAAAGAAGACAGTGTCTTGGTAAGATACTAATCATTCTTATCTTCAATCAGTATTAAAATTGTTGTTAAACAAGTATATATCTTCTCCTGATACAGATAATCACATACAGTACATATGATGTAATCAGGAGTGAAGTCTGAAATGTTTCAGGAAATTTAAGGCTTTAGATAAATGAACATGAGGGAGTTTTGCAAAGACAAATGGGGATTCTTGCCAATTTTGTGCAAAGAATTTTTAAATGCCTTGATTCAGTTTTATGTATTCCTTGGTGAGAACAGCACTCAGCTAAACAAAATCCTTTCCCCATAGTATTTGTCATGCGTATCTAAATGCCTGTTAGAGAGAAGGCACATGATAAAAGGTAAATATCATATACTACATCAAATAGATACTATGATAGTTCGGAGAACTCCGCTCATGACCAGCAGAGATTTCTGATGGTCCTATATGCTATAAGAGTGGTAAAACGTAATTAAAAGAGGTATCTGAAGATACCTCTTGAAAGAGAGATTAGAAGAAAAAACTACAAGTTAAAAATTAATAATATTTGTTATCGTTATCATAGCTTCACAAAGACCTCATAAGCTGGTCTCTTGTTTCTTAGTATTTCCCAATCTGCAATTGATGGTAATCGAATCCTAGGCAAAATCTGAGGTTGTACAGCAACCTTATACAGGGCATACAGTTTGACACAGATGTGTATAGGCAAAAGGTGTATAAATATAACGTGGTGCAAAGAAACAAAATGTCCATGGCAGATCTTGGGCACTAGATATCAAATTCCTAGGGGAGATTAGGTAGCAGGAGGGAACAGAAATGCATATTCCCTTTGAAAAGAAAAGCTCTGTTGGAGTCTTCAATTTCTCAGTTGCACTCTGATCCAAAAAAGAAAAGGAATACTTTAAATTAGTTCTTTCTATCAGGTTCAACAAATGATGTGGCTTCACAGTACAAAAGGAAGCAGGAATAATTTGTCTCATGTTTTGACTTTACACAAGGCATGTATAGCATCCAGCCAGGAACTGAAAAACTGAACCAAGTGTTCGCACAAGTTTTGTAGCGGTGACAGCTTATATAATTGGCGAAAAATGTAGGTGTTCTTTAGAAAGGTAACACATTGTGAAATAGAGATCTTCCAATTAAAAAAACAAAGCTCTCCAGCATCTTTACATGAAGTGTTGTCAAATACGAAGACTCATCTAGACTAGGCACTGAGGGCAGGTAAAAGCAAAGCAATGAATTGACTAAGTACTTTCCAGTACACTTTGTGCTTCTAAGAGAGAAAATAATTTAATGTTTCTGATTAACAATTTTCCTGCATAACTGAGTGGGGTTTGGGAATAAAGAGTTTAGCACAGCAGGCAGTCTGACGAAAAGTGGACTTGATCAAAGTCGTTCAGTAGTTAAATGTACTGTCATTAAAAAGCTAAATGTACTGTCATTCATTTAAAATAATTTAGCAAATTAGAAGAGTTCATTAGTGCGTGGTAGTTGGCTTCTGCCAAAACACCCTGCTGCTTAAATATGAGATATAATTGAGAGGTATTAAAATTCTTTTCTAAAAGAGGGAGTTTAAGGAAATCCTGGTAATGTATTTGGTATAAGCATTGTCAGATTGTTTTTCTTGAAAATCTGTAATCCTTCATTCTTCTTTCTGTAAAAAAAAAAATTCTTAAAAATTGAAAAGAAAAAAATGGCATTTTGAATACATTAATAGGGAGCAGCCAAATCACACAAAAAATCACTGTGAAAAATAACTAATTAACTAACTAAGTAACTATCCAAAAACCAGGAGTGGGACAAGACAAGGTATGGGAGAGGATGGGGAAACTCCCCAGACTGAAGTGACTTGGTTTGGAGGTCAGACTTAATGATTTCACAGTACATTAACTCTGTAAATTAAAAACCCCCAACTTTAAATAATCTGCATGTGATTACAACCTTATGCACTATAATCATCAGCCTTCTCTGGGAAACAAAATGCGTCTAAATATATACTAGTAGTTTTCAGGATATACTGCATGAACATCTAGTATATTTTCCTAACCATTTATTGCTGTTACTATTATTTTTTACTCCGGGAATGTCAGTAGTGAAAATGCAGCAGAGCCAGGGGCCATCTAATCTAGATTTGCATAGATATTTTGGCTACTGAAGGATAGTCAGCAGTTGCACGGAGCCTCTCCGGATAGACCAGTTTGAGCTGAAGCTTACTCTGGTAGCCCGAAGTCAACACACCCTTCCTTGCCCTCTGTGTCTGCTACCACGGAAGGAGGGCATCAAAAAGAAAAGAAAGAGGCCAGAAGAGGAATTTGTATTTGCACTCACTTTCCAGTCCTCCTGTGGCAGCGCTGAGCATCCTACAGTTTTTCTTACAGTAAGTCTCAGTGTCTCAAGACATGAAGCAAGATAAGAGTGTGGGTTATGCCCTCAAACCTCAAATT